TTTCATACAACTGTGTGTATGATTCTTTATGCATCTTCAACTCTTGGATAAGTTGATGACGGAAAAGCGTGTGACTATCTTCTCCTTTACCAAGTAAAGACAAAAGGGCTCGGTAACCGCAATTACCATCTCCTCAATATTGACGATACAATTGACATATTTGTGCATAAAAACCAGCATCTCGTCAATGAACTAAATTTTTAGTGGAAGCGGCGTCGGAGGTAGTTTGCTAATGCAGGCTCCTTTCACAACACTTTTTTTGATTTTGGAGTCGGTGATTCAGGAAATTTTTTTTCAACGTGTTCAAAATATGAAGGAGACCGTGTAGTCGAGTTGTCATTCGGTGTAGGCTTCATTTTCTTTGGAGCACCTTTTATTTTTACCGGTTGAGAAGGCGGTTTCATGTCGGTGGTTTCAGGATATGCATTCTTCCTCAATTATTCTTTAATGTGGAGTTCCATGTTGTCATCAACCTTAAAAAATCTCTCTTGTATCGTTTCCCATTCGGTCAAAATAGAGATATTCGATTTACCTTCATCCATGCATCGATCATCATCAAACCTAAGTCTATTCCAATGAGAGCAAACCTCGTCCATTCTTATTGGTTCACTAAGTTTCACATTTTTAGCAATAACATAAGCACACGGGAGACCATATATTTTCACAATAGTGCAACCACACTTTGCGCTATTGAAGCCTACATTTTCAGGTCGTTTAGCCTCGTGAAAAATATAGTTCAACCCCGCTAGAGAAATGTTGTCTACCAAATGAGGATGAAGATTGTTGTCTTTAAATATGTGTTTCAAAACTGTGATGCTTCAACCAAATGTTGTTTCTATCTCATTATGTTGGTTTTAAATCATGTGGTTCACGGAGTCTCAGTCTTGGCACAGATCCCCTTTGCTATTTCCCAACCAAATTTTCAAAGTAGCATGGGTCGACTCAACTATGTTGGTGGTTGTATTTCCAAGGTGTCGAACATTATCAGTCCACACACAAACTATCTTCTCCCTCACTTGATCAAGAATGATGCTTTCAACATATTTTAACAAAGTCGGATACTTTTCACACACTTTCCAGAATTGAATGAACGAATCAGCATTTAATTCTTTTGTGGAAGAATTTATTATGTGATTCCATGCATCCATTGTTTTCTCAACAATCACACCTGACTTCACCAATTTTCCACCATCGGACTCTACGTATTTCATCCCTACCGCGGGTTTAACCTGACTTCTCACATTCTCTGTTGTTATGTGATACTTACAAAGTAATGCATAAGAAGAAGGAAATACCTTTGTAACAACATTCATCAATGCGTTATCGCGGTTGGTAATAATAGCTTTAGGCATCTCACCTTGATCCTTCAAAAGTGACTGACACACTTCTAATGCCCAACTAAAATTTTCCTCTTTTTCACACTCTAAAAGGCAAAACCAACAGAATATGTCTTCTCAGTTGAGGTAACACCAACCATCTCAAATAAAGAAAGTCTATACGTATTGGTCTTGTAGGTAGAATCAAGTACGAGCACTGACAGAAACATGTTGAGCAACTTTATCCAATCCGGATGAGTCTAAAAAATATCTCTAACCGTAACTCCATTGTCATAAATTCGATACCGGGACACGTAATTATTATCGTCTAAAATTTTCAACAGTTGTTGCATCACAGTCCTATCCTTCCTAATCGCCTTGTTAAGTAAGGTATCGAATGTTATACACTTGTTTGATATTTGATATATTATCGATTTGCTTTCTTTTCAATTTTGCAAGTGTATTTTACGGTTGGACAAGATTCAAGGTCATGTCACTAATACATTCTTTCTCTTCCGGCTTGAGCCGGCATACACTAGAATGACCGACTAATTTTAAGCACAATTCATGGTTATGCGAACCACAAATGACATTAAATCTACATTTTTTGTTAGCCAACATCTAACAACGAAGTTTAAACGGACACTCACATTTTCTACTATCCGCGTCGTCTTTCTTTAAATTCCGGATAAGAGTTCGATAGCTCCCGCTTCTTTCGCACAACAAAGACACAAAAACGCTTCTTCTATCCGAGTCGTTATCCGACCTTCCGATAACTACATCAAATCCAAGTTGAGATGCCTCCATACGAATCCATTCGAGCATGTTATTGCGGTTTTCAAACTCTTTCTTCTTATTAAAGTTGTTGCCAACATCTATTGTCTTCACAACAACCCCTTCAACATTCGCTTCAATATCGTTCGGAGAAACTACTTGTTTTGAAAAATTATCGGGGTGCACCGTATCTATTGAAAACAATACAAACAATAACAAAACATTAATTAATCTACTACTGCAGAAGGGGATGAAATTTAAACACAGAAACACTCTAGAGACGTATTTCCGAAAAAATTCATGTTCAACACGTTCCGGAGATACATCTCCGGACATTGCGTATGTTTTTTCAGCAAACTTTCATAATTAATGTGAGCAATGTAGATGAGAATGAACAATCTTTATCTGAAATTCGATCTTCTTTTACCGTCTGTGATATGTTGAACCAAAAGAATAAAGATTTGGAGTGAAAAATAGGATTGAGAATGTAGGGCTTTTAGGATGAGGGTTTAAGTTGAAATGAAGAATGACAACAACAGGGGACTGATCATACAGTTTGAAGTTATATCAGATATTTCTGGAGATACATCTCTGAAATAATCTGACATACAAAGGTGACAGGAAAATTTAAATTGCCATCCATATATTCCGAAGATATATCTCCTGAACATTCACTGAACTGATTAATTTTCATGTTTTCTCCAAACTGTTCCGTAGATATATCTTCATAATAAAATTTTACTAAATACATGAGAAGTGACTCATAATAACATTTCTTAAATGTAAAAGGGGTGTGTCTGAAAATATATATTAAAAAACTCTCAAATATTTTAGATAAGATGTTGCTTTTAAGCCCGACCCGTTTAATTTCTTCCTCTTCCTCAAACTTTTACATGCTCATTTTTGTTGGAAAACCCGCCTGCCCTTTTCTACTTCGATAATATATCCCTCCACCAATAGTAATTATAGAGATATGTATGTGACTGACTTGGTCTTTTGAAGGTTCTTCCTTGTGTGTGGATCAGGATATAGTAATTGAACCTTTTTCACTATAGGGACCAATAGGACTGAGCACTAGAACAACCTATGCCCCATTGTCGGTGCAAAAAAAAAAAAGTTGACCACTATATTCTTTTATGACTTTTGTTTCAATTACTATTGGACAGAAACTTTGTTACACAATTCTCAATTTTTGCCAAAAAAAAGTCATTTATGTAATGTCAAAATCAATCTTATTAATACTCCCTACTACACATCATGTTCTTCCTTCTTTACTACACTAATGCCAATGTAGTATCATGAAACTATTTGCGGCAATCTTGAAGAAACCATCAAGAAAACGCCACAATAAATATGAGTATTTTCTTCTTAGATTATAAAGTTTAGCAACAACTAGAACCGCCACAATAAATACGAGTTTTTGCTTCTTAGATTATAAAAATAACATATGATTAATTTCATGAATACTATTTCAAAGGGAAAGTGCAATGCTACAATGCGAATGGACAAGTCTCCTAACTCAATCAAACCTCATATGATCTGTAACACAATATTGGCCAAAGAACTTCCCACATGCCCTATGGGCCCTATCTCACATGCACAACCAATGAAAGTCTTTATTACAATCTAAACCATGTGCATTCACAACACTTATCACTGTCTCTTTTAGCACTGTCCATTACTTTCTCCGCAGGCATTTACTATATGCCTCATCCTCACAAGATTTGTGAGGGTGCACTACATTTCCTAGCTTGGGTTAATTAAGAAAGAATGTGACATTTTAACAATAATCTAGTAATTTTGTTAACTCATTGTTTGACTTTGCATTAAAAATTCGAACATTGCGTAGATTTGCTGCTGACTGCGTGAATGCATAGAATTACTACTGATAGAATTGACTATTACTCTAGTGTGATTTCTAATTGCATAGTAAGAGTAAGAGGGTAACTTTAGGCTTTAGCATTCTTCAATTAGTACTACTTTTGAGGCCTTTTGAGACTTTAATTGTTAAGCAAGCATGCCTTCAAATGATTGTGTTTTGTCCATAACTTTAATCCATGATGCTAGGAATAAAAGCCAGGTAAATCTAATAGTAATTTTTATTAATTTTAGAGGGTCAGAGGGACAGTGTAGGTAAGAAAGATCATCATGTTAATTAGAAAGAGATTAAAAGAGAATCAATGAATCATGTGCAGCACATGAAAGAATCAAACATGTAGATAGAGAAACGCAACATTGGCAGATATGTTTTTTAATGATATACAACCAACCATAATTGCATAACAAAAAAGCAAAGATTACTTCCATTGACAATGAAAGAAAAAAAAGGCTATAAAAAAGTGACAAAAGTTTAAAAGGGAACAACACCAATACTATTTTTTTTCTATTCCATAATCAATCACCATAATAGATAAAGTGTTTCCATTACTCCATTACTCAACTTTGACAATCATACTTTTTTTTCTTCTTCGTATAATTAACTCAAACAAAACAAAAGGTAAAAAAAAAAGTAAAAATATTTATATATATCTTGGCTTCTTGAGATTCAAATCCTATAAAATAAAACTGAAAAGGACTGAACAGTGTGTGAGGAGACATGATTTGACATATGGAAAAATATGCATATGAATTGATGGTGGGTAAGGTTGGTGGTGAAGGACCAAAGTAGAGAAGCGCTTCAGCACCTGCTCCTACAATTTTGCACTGTTTGTTTTCAGCTGGAGCAAGTTGAGCAGCTAATAAGGTTTTGGTTTAGGTTTTGGTTTTGACACACAATAGTAACATATGACATGTGTAATTAATGTACACTTGTCAAGAATGCATGATGATGCAGAGGAAAAAAGCATACTATATAAAAAAAAAAAAACTGAAAAATCAAACACAGAAAAATGGTTGTTTTGATGATTTTTGTTAGCACTGACGGCCTCTTTTGCAGCCTAGTGCACCAGCATTTGATGTCATGGTGCCAACCATGGCTGACGATTTTGCTCCTAAGCTTGAGGCTCTTGCATAGCTAGCTGAAGCTCCAGCACCAGATGCTGTGAAGTATGCACCATTTAGATATAAATCTCCCTCTGATCTCCAATTCCAACCTTTCCATTGGCTTTCAGCTGTTTCCACTCTCTTAGTCACCTGCAAATGCGTACCAATTTCATTCAATCATTCACCAAAACTCAATTTTGAACACGTTTTGATTAATGGACTAATAATGTACATTAATGCAGTACCTCTTTGGCAAAAGGGTTAACAGGAGCATTGTATCTGTTACCCTGGCTGTTGATTGTGGGCTCGGCACTTCCACCAATGGCATACATCTCCCAGTGAGTATAATCATTGTTCACCACATGGAAATAACCATGTCTACACCTGCATTTTTCATGATCAATGTATATTCAATTAGAGGAGTAGGGACATAATGTCTTATTCAGTTGTTGAATTCAGCTATTGAATACACACACCATATGGCCCCATCTTCTAACGATACATGTACAAATGTTTGTGATTTTTTTTGAGCTAGAGGAAACTTAAAATTAATGCACCAAAAAGGGTTGTTGCAGGCAACAAACCAACCTGTCTTATGGTTTAACATTTAAAGCATTTAAAGCATACAATGGAAAAGGGGAGAAAAAGAGGAGTATCAAAATTTAAAGTTGCATTGAATATTACCGAGGCATTCTCTGAATAAGTCCTTCTCCGAAATGGTTATAAGCTATTGTCACTTGCATTTGCTTGTCCCTTGTGTAGGAGTCACTGTGTCCCAACAGAATCACCTGCATTCGCAAAAAAACAGATCAATAACATAAGAAATGTAAAACGAGTCGTGCAATGCAACTCGCGGAAGCCCGGATACAGACACGGACACAACCAAAATGTGTATTGGACACCAGACACATTGAATTTGAAAGTACCTCATTGTGGTGGGTGAAATGGTTGTTAGAAATTGTGATAGCTGTTGAACCGACGACAGCATCAACAAGACCATCAGCGCAATGAGACAACGAATTATGATCGACCCAAATATGACTTGAACCGAATATAGAAACCGCGTCTCCATCAGCCATAGTCCTCCAACCAAAATGTGTTTCTGAGCTTCTCACCATAGCATTACCGGTTGGTACACAATCATGAATATGAAGTCCATGAATGATAACATTAGTAACATACTGAATCGTAATGCACGCTCCATTCGCAATATGCACATTCGCTCCTCTTCCATCAATAGTCTTGAAACTGTTCATAATCAGCTCTTGTTTCAACTGAATAACCATGTCCCTCTTGAACACAATCCAAAGTGGCCTATCTTGGATAACAGCGTGACGCAAAGTTCCCGGCCTTGGGTTAACAGGGTCATCGTCTCTCGGATCAGTGACAACATAGAATTTTCCATCCCGGCCACCGATAGCATTTCTTCCAAAACCAATACCACAGTCTGCTAGACGCTTCCTGTTTTGCTGCCAATTGGGGTCGCAACGCCAGCAATCGTCAATCGGGTTACCCGTCCCACACGAGAAATATCCCAGGTTTCTTCTTTCAGTACTGTTCTTAATGTGCCTGCAAAATCAAAACCTTATTAATTTAGAATGCAAATACAGAGAAAAAAACATAACTTGTGGAGCAAGCAAACAAACAAAAAAAAACCAAACAGTTAAACCTTATCTCAAGATATACATAAACATATAAATTAAATAAAGCCGTTACATTATTAATCAACAAATCATTGAATTTTGTACAGATAAGAAACTATGCCAACTATTTATCCACATGATAAGTAAATATAATTGGAATTTTCTCTCAACTGCAACGGCTAATATTTTTGTCATTACATGAACCATAAGATATATGGTGAATATGCTTTTTTGTCACAATTACTTAGATCATGACCACATTATGCTACTAGCATCACATGCTAAAATTATTATACACTAAAATATATCATATAGTATTAACAAATCTAGCAACAAAACAAAATTAATCAAATTTTTTTCATGATTATGGAAGGAAAAAAAATAGAGATGTACACGTAAGTACAAAACAGTTATAGATAAATATTTATTTAATGGCAAAAGAATTATTAGCGTGAAAGACGGAAATAAAAGAAGAAATTGCATGTGACTGAAAACATGAAAGGGAAAGTAACGAAAGAATGTAACAAATTGAAATTCCAAAAAGGGCAAACAAAATATGGGTGAGAAATCATAAATACAAATTTATTCAACAATGTCAAAACAAGGAAAATGACGTGGCATATAAAAAAAAAATTGGTTGAGTTTGGGTAGGTGTTAGGTTTTCATTTCATAGAGGAAAGTTAATGTGAGCACACCATTATGCCCTACACCATTACATGTCTAATGTCTAGTGCATCAACCACGTGCACTTGTATGAAAAGAAAAATCATTATAAATGCATTTAGTTTCATTTTTTCATTAATTCCGATCATTAATGCAACGAAATCAGAGTCGATAAAATCCATATTTAACGACTTTATATTTCGTTACATTGCATGTTATAAGAAATTAAAAAATTATAGAGAGGAACCCACATTTCAACCATCGAAGCAACCTCGTTTGGATCAGCCACGGCAGCACGCTCATTCAATTTCTCGGCTTCTTTTTGCCTAAATAAAAAATTAAATTCAAAAATTAAAATCACCATGCATAAATAAATAATTTAATAAACAAACATCCAATAAATAAATTTAATTAAACTATATTCTTTTTAATTTAAATAGTAAATACCTAGTACTACCACAACAGAGGGAGGTACGGTAAAACAAACACAAAAACCGTTAAAAGAATTTTGAAGAAAGATAAAAAAAGGATTTATCCAGTTACTCAAAATGACCAAAATGCCACCACCGTCAAATAGTGATAGGAGATAAATCTCGGAGGGCAATTTCGTTAATATGACAAAAGTTTGTTGACGGTTAACTAACGCTTTTGCGTATCTCACGGAAAAAAAACACATGCAATGGTATCCGAAGAAAGAACATAACCGAATAAACGATCCAGATCGAGAGATAAAAGATTAATCAACGGTTATAATTGTTAGTTGCGGAATCTCAATCTAACGGTGACGATGATAATATAAAAGATGAAACCAAAGGTGGAGATCAGCGAATTTGTTTTCATAAAGAAAAGTTGAAAAAACACAAACACCAACCTTGCCGCCATTGATGAATCGTTAAAGCTTGTTAACCTGTGTGTCTCAGTATCCACATTGCTGATAAGAACAGCAGAAGAAAATGCGTCAGAAATCCGAACAATGTAGCTAACAACAAACGAAGCAACAAAAACAGAGTAACTCTGTTTCAAACAGAAAAAACATAGAAATAAATACCTGAACTGAGAGATCTGTGTAGAAGTAGAAGCCATAGCTTCTTCTTCAACGAGCAACACAAAAAGCAACAACAAACTGAGAAACCATTTCACAGAAGCCACCATTGTCAAAAATCTCGCTCTTTCTCTCTCTCTAGAATTTGCTTTAAAGAAGAAATAATGTGGAAGCTGAAGAGAGAGAAAGAGAGAGGAAGAAAAAAGGGTCGGTAGAGAGAGAAAGATTAATGGTTGAGTGGACTCGAGAGAACAGGTTCCAACATAACGGCCATTATATAGCCTCATAGCAATAACGTCGAACTCTTAACGCCGTTAATTAACTGATCGTTTTTCTTGTTTGGTTCCTTTTTCTTTATTTAACGCCGTTAACTAACCACTTCGTCTCTTTTTAACCTCTTAACCCTAACTTTAACCGCTTCTTCATTCTACCATGCACGTGGGTTCAGTGATCATCACGTGCCATTGCAGGGTCTAGTTACTATTACTATTACTAACATTAGATCTGAAATGGTTCATTCATATACACACTGTTTTCTCTTTTTTTACTTTTTTATTTTATTTTTTACTTCTTTTTCAACTAACTAAAACGGTTTTTAATTTGCGTGTACACAATTTATTTTATATATAAGCAGTATCATGTATATCATGTATCATAAAATTACAATTTAATGTTTCGTGCAATGTTATTACCTGCGTCAATGTAATGTTACTACTTGGTATTACTAGTACTTTACTTGTCCTTGTTTTCTTTTTCTTTTTTGACAAAAAGTTTAATGTTTCTATGAAGTTTCATTTCGCTTTTTAGCTTTATCATAGTGCTTTAAAAATGGTTTCTTATTAATTTTCTTAACTGAAATAACCCTATTTAAATAGTTTATTGGGAGCGTTTAATTTCCTCAGCTAAATTTAATTTTCTGTTGGTTAAATTTTTTTTTAAATGTTAATTTTATAAATATCAACAACTTTTAATATTAATATATAAATATAAATAAATATTACCGCTAAAGACTCAATTTTAGACTAACATGTTATTCATTTAATAAATTTAAATAACACATAGTTAATCTCATCCACCATAAAAAATAAGTTTATTAGGATGGTGAATATTTTAATTTTAACTTTAAATATTTTTGATAAAAATGATGATTAACTAATAACTAAATTTATTGAAAATAAATTTACAATAAAGCATCTATAAATTATTGATAATAAATAAACTAGTTAATTTTGAATTTGTTTGATTAAATTAGTTTTCGAGTTAATTTTCAATATAAAAATATAAAACGGGACTGTAGCTTGTCATAGGTTATGAGATCTTCGACTAAAGTTTGATTTTGTAGCGGTGGCAATTTAAGAATCCAAAGATGTAAAAACTATGAAGATTGAGGAAATGTGAAGCTCTTTGGAAGTTTGTGAGCTCTTATTCATTGATAGAAGAGCTGAGAAGGAAGTTCAACAAGCTTTACAAGCATAAATGGTGGAGAAATATAGTCATAAAAGGAAGTTCAAAAAGAAAACTAACAAAAATTTTAGAAGTGGAAGCTCGTCCAACCATGATAATACCAAGTTTGATGACAAAATTAAATTATTCAAGAGAGGAAGAGATTTTGGCACCAATCAATTAAAAAAGAAAGAGTTTGACAAAAGAAAAGTGTAGTAACACAACTATGATAAAGTATTGACACTTTGTTAATGAAGAGGCACACATAACTCATGATCACGATTATAATTCATAAGTAATCATATTAATGGAAACTGATGACATGCAATCTTAAACATTGAAGGCCTACGAGCGTTTAGGATAGTTTTGTAGTGTGAGACATAGTTCATAGGCCCACTTAAACTATTAGAACTCAGGAAAACAAGCTTTGAGTATAGTGGTGGTACCACATGAATTGAAGTAGAGGACAAATGTGTTCCATAAGTGTTCATGTGTAGGTTGTGTAATGTCGTATGACTCTATGAAATATTGTAGGATTATGTAATGTTATACGTTATGATTTATGTTACCCTTTGTTGTTATTATACGATGTATTCTGTATAATCTATTCTCGCCCATCTATTTCTATGTTCTTCAATGTGAATCTATTTGTAGAGTATTCCCAGGTCGAGACTGAGGAGTAGTCACCTTGTCGTAAGGATATTGGAGATGGCGTGGGAGACAACTTCTTTAGTTTTCTTTATGTTTAGGGTTACTGGACTGTTAAGGCAACTCATATGTTAGTTTTAATAAGGATTTGATATTGTGACATCAGGGTTGGGTTTAATAATTTTTACATTGTTATGTTTGATTCTATGTTTTCATCAAGAACTCCATTATGAGAAGTTTTACGTTATCTATTTTAATGTGATGCTTTGTTTGATTACATGAGATACTTATTCCTCAATGTATGTTTACAAAAAAGAAAAAAAATCATTAGGATTTAGGGTGTCACATAGTTGGTATAAGAATCGGTTTGTCCATCAGGCCATGGGTGTTATGAGTTTGTTATGCCTTTGTGTATGACATATGTGTTAGCACTATTAGTAGTGTATTCATGTAAGCGCTATTTGCTTTACTGTTTACAACCAGTTTAGATTCTTATATTTGGTTTGTGCGAGAAGAAATGGTTGCTGGAAAGATTAATGGCGCGATAGATGATGCCCTCGAGGCAATGGCTAATATTATGATTCAAGCTACTCAAGCTTTTCAGAGTGATCAAAATGTTGGAGCTGGTGAATTTTGTCAGATAGGAAGGTTTCAGAAGAGTAAATGCATATATATAAGGGAATGTATCATCCAGGAGGTGCTCAAATTTAGATCCAAGAGATTGAGAAAATTTGTAGGGTAATTACATGCACTGATGAGTAGAAGGTATCATTCGGAATTCATATGCTAGATTATTTAAAAGTAAATAGCAAAGCTATGATAGATGAATTACCTAGGATGTGTGCCTTTCCTAGAGTATTTTCAAAGGATAATTATAGTTTTCTGCTTGATAATGAAGTGGAGTTTTTGATAGACTTAGTACCTGGTACTAGACCTATATTCATGGCCCCATATAGAATGTTCGCATCATAATTTAATAAGCTTAAGAAACAGCTAGAAGAGCTATTGGAGAAGAAATTCTTAATACATAATGTATCGCCTTAGGGGTGCGCATGTGTTCTTGGTTAAGAAGAAAGATGGAACCATGAGGTTGTATGCAAATTATCGTCAGTTGAATAAGTTTAGTATTAAGAATATGTATCATTTTCCTATAATTGACGATCTTTTGGATCCTTTGATGGGAGCTTGAGTGTTTAGTAAGATAGATATGAGAGCAAGTAAACACCAGATTCGAGTGAAGTCGGGAGATATTTCTAAGATAACGTTCAAGTCTCGTTATGGTCATTATGAGTATTCAATTATGCCTTTCGATGTGACCAATGTGATAGGAGTGTTCATGGAGTATATGAACAAGATTTACAACCCCTATTTTGATCAGTTTGTCGTAGTGTTTATAGATGATATCTTGGTATACTTTAAGTCTGAAAAAGAGCATACAGAGCATCTGAGAATAGTATTGTAAACCTTGAAAGATAATAAGTTGTATGCTAAGTTGCTGAAGTGTGGGTTTTGGTTTAAAAAAGTTAGTTTCCTCGAAAATGTAATTTCCAGTGATGGAATAGTAATGGTTTCGTCTAAGGTATATGCAGTATTGCAATGGGAAACGCCTAAATTGGTAATTGATATCATAATTTTTATGGATTAGCCAGTTATTATAGAATATTCATAGAAGGTTTCTAAAGGTTGGCACTATTGTTAACCAAGTTAACCCTGAAGGGCCAAGATATTGTGTGGGGTGCTTAAGGTGAAGAGAGTTTTCAATATCTTAAGAAAAGATTAGCGTCAGACTAGTCTTAATTTTTCCAAGTTTAAGCGAATCTTTTGTGGTGTATTGTGATGAATTTAAGTTGGGTCTAGGAAGTATGCTTATGTAGAAAGGTCAAGTTTTAGCTTATGCTTCTAGAGAACTTAATAATCATGAAAGGAATTATCCTACCCATGATTTGGAATTAACGTCAGTGTCTTTTATGCTTAAGATTTTGAGGAATTACCTTTATGGATCAAGATTAGAAGTTTTAAGTGGTCATAAGAGTTTAAAGTATTTGTTCGACAAGAAGGAATTGAAAATGAGGCAGAGGAAATGGTTGCAACTTTTAAAGGATTATGATTTCCAATTGAGTTAGCATTCAGGTAAAACTCATATAGTCACAGATGCTTTGAGTAGGAATTCGTTGCATATATCTGCTTTGATGGTCAAGGAAATGAATTTAATCAAGCAGTTTGGATATTTAAGCTTAGTGTGTGAGACAACACCAAAAAATATGAAATTAGATATGTTAAAAAGTAACTAACAATGTGTTAGAAGAGATTAAAGGAGATTAGAAGTTGAACTTACTCTTATTGGATTAGTTGGCACTGATAAGTCAAGGAAAAGAAGTGGATTTTAAGGTAGGTGATAATAGGATTATGAGATTTCTGGATGTAATTTGTGTGTCAAATATATATAGACTTAAGAAGATGATTTTGGAATAAGGCCATAAGAGCGGTCTGAATATTCATCCAGAAGCTACAAAAATGTATCAAGACCTTTAGAGAATATTTTGGTGTATTCTTGTTTTATTTGTCAAAAGTCAGAGATAGAAAATCATAAACCATATGGATTGATGTAACCTTTGGGTATCCTCAAGTGGAAGTTGAATAGTATCACTATAGATTTTGAGGTGGGTTTACCTAGAACTGCTAAAGGGTATGATTCGATATGGGTTATAGTGGAAAAAGTTGACCAAATCAAGTCAATTTATCCCGATCAATATCACTTATCCGTTGAGGAAGTTGAGTGATTTATATAAGTGAAATAATGAGATTGCATGAGATTCTATCTAGAATAGTTTCAGATAGAGATTATACATTCACGTTGAGGTTTTGGGAAATTTTTCATAAAGCAATGGAAACTAAGTTAAGATTGAGTCATGGTTTCCTTGACCCTATTCATAATAAAGAGTTAAATGAAGAAAATTACGGCGAAGGTACTGAAGTAGCTAATGACGGACCAATATAAGCTCAAACACACAGGAGGCCA